CGACTCCCGAGGCAGCCCCGGCTCGTCGGGCCCGGCACCCCTCCCGGGTCCGCAGTGGGGCCTGGGACCCCGAAGTTGGGACACCATCTGGGGCCGGGCCAGTCTTTCCGGAGCAGCGCCTCCCGCTCTTTATCATGGTCTCTGCGGGTGTGGGGTCAGGGAACCAGACTCCCAGGAGCCTTGGCCCCACCTGCCTGGCGCCCAGCCCATGCCCCCAGCCCCGTCTTTAGCGGCGGTAGGGGGGCAGGGGGTGTTTAAGGTATCATTTTCCTGTCAAGGCAAACGCCCTTTTAAGAGTCATTAGCGGTCTGGTGTTGAGAATTCCTGCTCCTTTGAAGTCGCCCTCTAATCCTTTGAAGGGATTTGTTACACAAGACCAAAGGGCTGGTTAATGACTTGTCCGTTGGTGCCTTTAAGGGGCATTTGTTTTGTCTTTTCCTGCTTTAAAAGACCCGTGCCTTCCTGCTGCAGGCACCTCATCTCCGCTTTCTGTGGTGTTCATTTACCGGGTTTGCCCCCAGTCACCAGCATAAAAGCCCACGTGTGTCACGAGGCAGGAAGGGCCCCCCTCCAGCGGGCACGTCAGCTTCGCCCTCCTCTTGAAGGGCAGGACGGGTGCTGTCGGGGGCTTGTCGTCACCAAAACAGCTTCCTGAAACCAGTTCCCAGAAGAAAAACAACGCGTGTGTGCAAAGCAGCGGGAGCCAGGTGGTCTGCTCACGTTTTGTAAACTTGGAATAACAGCAGTGCTGGGCTTCAGAGACTGGGCCGGGTCCCAGCAGCCCCGGCAGAGGTGGACTGGGTGAACCTGACGCTGTCCCCATCGGCAGAACCCGGTCCCTAACCCTTTTCCTGGAAGACCAATCTGGGGGTTTCAGTTCCCTAGAGGAAGTCTGCTCTTCTCAAAGTTTGTGCTTTTTTGCTGAGGTTGGAAAACGGAAGTGTACTGACTTCACGCCACAGCGGACACCCACTGGTGGAGGCCCACCCACTGGTGGAGGCCCAATGCTAATGGAAGCCCAGCGCTGATGGAAGCCCACCCACATCAACCTTTGACTGACCAGGGAGGGTGAGGTCCAATCCACACGGACCAGCTCGTTGAGAAATTGCTGCAGCACGTTGTTTTCCCTCTTTTAGAAATTGTTGAGAAACTGTCCCAGAAGTCCGGGCTGATAGGAGACGCAGGCAGTGTTCAGGCGATTCTGGGAGAATCTCAAGTCTTCGGTGGAGGGTGAAGCCCAAGCCCATTCGTCATTCAAATAGAGTGTGATGTCGACACTTGCTACAGAGGTGGGCGGGGCCAGCATCTCAAGCCTCCCCTCTCTGTGCCCTCCGGCTCCTGGCGGCTGCTTGTCCCATGCCTCCTCAGAGCCACTGGACTCACAGCCGTCTAATCCCTAAGAATAACGAGTATCATCTGCAAATGACAGCCTCGCCTGGGCACACGCAAGTCACGTGTAGACAGAAAGCCAGAGTTCGAGGACATCAATGTCCGCCCCATGCCGGCGGCCCCTCCTTTCCTGCTGTGATCCCCAGAGCCGTGTGTCTGAACCCCAGGCCGCCCTGCACCGGCTCAAAACACGCACTCCTCTCACGGCTGGTGGGCCGCATAGCGTCAGGGCACCCCATGTGGTCCAGGCCCCAGGAGTGTCTTGAAATCCCTGGGTGAGAGCCTCTGAACTGTGGAGAGAGGAGGATGCAGTTCTGAGATGACACTCGTGGACAGGCGGACCGGGAGGGATCAGAAGGGAGGGTGAGGCCCTTGTCACCGTCTGCAGGAGCAAAGAGAACATGCCGGGCATCACTGGGTCCTTACAACTGTGGTCCTGATTTTTTTTTCCTGGCTTGAGTGTCACGTGTTCTGGTTCTGAAGATGGACTCGCGCGCTGCTCTGAGACTCTGCACAACCAGCCTGGTGTCAGCACTCCTGAATGTCCCCCAGGGAACACGTCCCGCTTCACGTGACAATTACCTGAAGTGTCAGAGCGTGTCACCCTCAAGGCCCTAAGCCCCATGGCCCGAGACGCGTGGGTGTTGAGCGTGGTAGCCCCCGACTGGTTAGGACACAAGGTACCCCGGCTGTGAGCCCCTGGAAGCAGGAGACAAAGATTTATGCCTCTGAGGGGCCAGGAAGAAATGCCCATAGGGAGTTTCACAGCTGGAAGAAGGTCCATTTTTTGAAACATAATAGCTATTTAAAAACTAGGTGTGGAACCGGGCGTGGCGGCATGCATCCGTAGTTCCAGCTCCTTGGAAGGTGGAAGTGGAAGGATTGTCTGAGCCCAGCAGGTCGAGGCTGCGGTGGCCGTCGACCATGCCCCAGCACTCCAGCCTGGAAGACAGAGTGAGACTCTGACTCCATAAAATAAAATAGAAATAGGATTCGTGTTCTAGCCTGGTGGCGTTTTCCTTTAGGAGGGAGAAGCAGCCCGCTCCCTCTGGGGGTGCTCCCCTGCCCTCTCCCCGGGCTCGTGCGGTCAGAGGCCGGAGGGAGGATGGCAGCCGGGTTCAGCAGGGCCTTGCAGGTGGTGACTCCGGGCCATCAGCCGCCCAGGCGGTGTGCAGCCCTCCCGTCTCGAGAGCCCCTGGATCCTGAGCCTGGAGGAGGGAAGAGGAAGGACTGAGCAAGAAGGAGTGCCCGGGGAGAGTGGGGGAGGCAGGAGGCACTGGGGAGGTGCCGGGGCTGAGCATGGCAGGGCACAGTGCCCTGCAGTGGTCTTGGCACCCTGGGGGCCCTGGGCTGCCTCCTAGAGGCTCCAGGAAGTGAGGCCGGCCCAAGGCTGGTGGGGCTTTGCCCTCAGGCTGTGGCCACACCTCCTCCCTCGTGCCCAAGGTGGTGGCTGAGCGGCTGCCCTCTGGTCCCCGGCCTCCCGTCCCTGACGCGTGCCTGTCCGCAGGGAGCCGGTGGACGAGGTGCTGCAGATGCCCCCGGCCCTGCTGACATGCGGCGGCTGCCAGCAGAGCATCGGGGACCGCTACTTCCTGAAGGCCATCGACCAGTACTGGCACGAGGACTGCCTCAGCTGCGACCTGTGCGGCTGCCGGCTGGGCGAGGTGGGCCGGCGCCTCTACTACAAGCTGGGCCGCAAACTGTGCCGCAGGGACTATCTCAGGTAGGCCCGGGCCCCGGGGAGTTGCGGGGGGCGGGGGGCAGGAGGTAGCCACGCCAGTGCCCATACCAAGGAGCCTCGGGCTGGTCCTCTCCAGGAAGCGCACCACCGGGCTGCGTTCCTGTGTGGCGAAACACTCAGATTTTCATTTCAAAATTATCATTATTTATTTCATCTTTTGTGATTTTTTTGAGTCGGAGTCTCACTCAGTCGCCCAGGCTGGAGAGCAGCGGCATGCTCACAGCCACCCCAGTGTCAACCTGCTGGGATCTGGCCATCCTTCCGCCTCAGCCTTCCAGGTAGCTGGAACTTCACAAGCGCACTACCATCCCTGGATAATTTCTTTATTTTATTGTACAGACGAGGTCTTGCCAGGTTGTCAGGCTGGTCTCAAATCTGCAGGCTCAGGCGATCCATTTGCCTCGGCCTCCCAAAGTGCTGGGATGACAGGCTTGAGCCATTGCTGTTTTGTTTTGTTTTTAAGATGGGGTTTCACCCTATCACCAAGGCTGAGTACAGTGGCACTATCACAACTCACTGTAGCCTCAGCTTCCTGGGCTCAGGTGATCCTCCTGCCTCAGCCTCTGGAGCACCTGGAACTACAGGTGCATACCACCATGCCTGGATAATTTTTTTTTTGTTTTTTTGTTGAGACAAGGTCTCGCTATGTTGCCTAGGCCGGTCTCAAACTCGGGCTGAAGCGATTCTCTCACCTCAGCCTCCCAAAGTGCTGGGATGACAGGCGTGAGCCACTGCGCCCGGCCTGCTATTTTAGAGGGCAAGGGAATGACAAATGCACACATCAGAATGGTGGTTACCTGGCAGGGACAGGGATGGGACTGTGGGGAGCACAGGCAGGGTCCGTGGTCTGGAGGTTTGGTTTCCGCGTGGGAGGTGTTCTTGGAAGCTCGTGTAAGTGCTTCGGAGCCCATGACTCCTCCGTGAAGCACTGGCAAACTTAAAGCAGAAAGCCTGTTTTCTGTGGGCTCCTATGTCGGTTCTTGCGGGAGGAGGTAGAGGTCGGAGTCCCAGCACCCTGGCATTCTGGGTCTGGGACCTCACGCAAGTCACTGGACCTAAACCTCGATTTCCTCATCTGTAAAATGGGGGTGATGCTTCACTGCTTCCGAGGACGTGGTGGGACTTTAATGGGTGACGTGCATGATGTGCCGGGCCGGTGCAAGTGTCCGCAGACGGCAGTTGCACCTACGAGCCACCAGCACTATGTGGGTCGTGAGCATTGTCCACGAACAAGGGGATGGAAGAGTGGGCAGGCATGACGGACACTCTGCCATGCCTCGCGAGACGGCTGCCGAGGACGCTTCCCTGCCCTGGTCGTACTGTCACCGTCCAGATTTTCCAGCCCTCCATGAGTGCCTTTGCCTGGAACGTTCTAGAGACTTCTTGTGTCATATGAGCTGCTGGTGGAGGGGAGAGCTCCCTGAGCCCTCTGCGGTCAGGTCCGCTCAATCGCGTGGCCATTGGATTCCTGCCAGGGGCCCATGGGGTGTGCGGCCCTGACACTTGACACTTGGGGGACCGTCTAGACGACTATACCCGGCTGCAGGCTGGCTCTCCCTCCAGACCCGCCCGTAGCACATTCCACCTGAAAACCAGCAAACTGCAGGCAAGTCCACGGTGGAGAATGTGGTTTCCTTAGCGCTGAGACTCGTGGCGCAAGCTCTGCCTCCTGCGTACCTGCTGCAGTCCCCACACATCTGTGGCTCCCAGAAAATGAGTGGTGTTTCCCGTGACCGTGATGATGATGTTGGGCCGTTCTCTTCCTTTCTTTCAAAGTCACAAGGGAGCAGCTGGGGTGAACCCTGGCCTGCCCTTTTCCCTCCCAGGTCACCGAGTCGGCAGAGGCGACAGGTGCACGCCTCCTGCTGGGCCCACCTGGGCCCTGGCGAGTCATGGGCATCTTCCGACATGAAGCACAGAGTGGCAGGTCAGCAGAGCCCAGGCTTCCCAGTCTCTGCTAGAACAGCCAGAAAGAAAACCAGCACTGCCCGGGCTTGTTGATCTTTTCCATTTTCAAAAAGGAGAGAAAAACATGGTCTGGGCGAGCCCGGTGTTAATTAACTCGTGTCTCGTGACACGGGGTGATTCTGCTCCTGCCACGTTCCCCGGCAACATGTTAATTAACTCCCATCACTGCCACGCTTCCAGCCGCCCCTTCATACTTACATTATTGTTATTAAAATGGCAGCACAGGCCTGAGGTGGGACGCCCTTGGCGGAGGAGAGAAATGGCGTGGGATGGCCTTTCAGCCTTCAGCCGCACCTCGTGTGCCCGGCCACATCCTCTCACGAGGATCCTGTGGGGGCTGGCCCTTCCCCCAGGATGGCTTTTCCCTGGGAGGATTTCCAATGGCTGCTGGGCCTGGCACGACCTTTCCACCTTTTGGCCTCCTTGGCCACAAGCGCCCTGCAGCCCTCAAGCCGGCTGCCATGCTGCTGGGTCACTGAGAAGCTCACGGCCGTGTTGATGTCTGTGCCCAGAAGATCCCGATGTCTTTACAGCGTGTGGGCTGGGGGCCCTCAATCTCCCAGTGGCTTGCTGTCCACAGCGGGAGCCTGCATCCGTCAGGGCCAGAAGTAGGTGCACTCCATGGACCCCAGGACCCCACCAGTGACAGACCCTGTGGGGCACGCCAGCCCTGCAGCCTTGCCTGGAGTCAGGAGCTACTGAGGCCCAGAGTCCTCCCGGTCTGGCCTCAAGTTGGTTTGGCTCCCTCCCTCCCCTCCTCCAGTCTTTCCTGAGGACCACCGTTAGTCAGTCCCTTGCTCACAAATCCTGACCTCGGGGCCTGCCTCTGGGCTTCCCAGCCCAAGACATCAATTCTGGGTGCCAGAGTTAGCACTCTAGTCGAGTCCTGGTTGATTTTTACTAATATCAGAGTCTTGGACACCAGAGCTGGGTGTGTCATGGGGGCCCTTGTTTTACTGTGTGAGTCAGAGATGCCCGAGAGGCGATGCTGTGTGTCCAGTCACCTGGCGGGTCAGCGCTACAGCTGGACCTGTCTTTGTCTCCCCTGCCCCGTCCTCGTCCTCCCCTGCCTTGGCTGCCTGGCATGTGTTGCAGTCTACCCCTGACCTCCGTTTCATCAACTCCCCCCGCCCGAGGGTGCTCATGTCCCAGGCAGCGGACGCAGTCCACACACACTGTACATCCGTGGATGGTCCTGGCTCAGGCCAAGTTCCGCTCACTGAGCAGCTGGGAAGGCAGAACTGCCGCTCCACTCCGGGCCTCCTCTGTGGTGGTTCCACCGGCCCCACCATCTGCTGCTCTGGGCTGGGCGTTCCCCAGTCCTGGCGGGGCTCCCGGGAGGCTTGCAGACACGGGAGCTGTCCTGTGGAGAGCAGGCCTCGGAGACGTCGTCTGGCCTGGCCCTGACCAGGCCCTCTGCCCACGGCTGTCCTCCGCCCTCACCTCCCACAGCCTCTCAGAGCGCCCCGTGAACTCTCAGATGTTCTGAAGTTACAGGAACTTCTGATGAAGACAGACACATTCCTGACGTCCCAGAGGGTTTCTGTGGGCAGCACCTACCCACATGCCGCGTCACGGGCCGCATGCAAGACTGCCTCTGCCATGAGACTGGCGTGGTTGGGAACAGCCCGAGACATGTCCAGACACAGTGCAGGGCTGTGGCTCTGGACACAGCTGTACGCTCAGGCCCTGAACACACCATGCGGGGCCCTGGCTCTGAACACACAATGCAGGGCCCTGGACCCACAACTGCGAGGCTCAGGTCCTGGACATACAAAGCAAGATCCTAGACACACAGCACAGGGCCCTGAATGCACAATGTGGTTCCCTGACCCTGGACACACAACACAGGGTCCTGTCCTTGGACACACAAGGCAAGACCCTAGCTCTGGACACAGAACTGCAAGGTTCAGGCCCTGGACACACCATGTGGGGCCCTGGCCCTGAACATACAACACAGCGCTCTGGACACACAACTGTGAGGCTGAGGTCCTAGATATACAGCACAGGGCCCTGAACACACAATATGGTTCCCTGGCCCTGGATACAAAACACAGGGCCCTGGCCTTGGACACACAATGAAGGAACCTCGCCCTGGACACACAGCTGCAAGAATCAGGCCCTGGACACAATGCAGGGCCCTAGACATACAATGCGGTGCTCTGGACACACAACTGTGAGGCTCAGATCCCAGACACAATGTGAGATCCTTACCCTGAACACACATCGTGGTCCCCTGGCCTTGGACACACAACCATGAGGCCCAGGCTCTAGACACATGATGCAGGGCCCTGGCCCTGGACACAGGAGTTCGACATGCGCCCGGCCCTTCCAGCAGCGAGAGAGGGACATGCAATGACTGTCACCATCTCAGAGAAATCAAAGGTCTCGCCAGGGCCACTTGGGGCTGGCCCTGACCTTGGCACGGGGTCTTCTGTGCCCAGTGCTTCTGTTACTCTGCGTGTCCCACTGATTTTTACCCCCGAGCCCATGCCGTGTTCTCTGATGTGCCCATGAGCACACAGGGTCTCCTCCCGGGGAGTCCAGGGAGGTGGGGCCTGAGCATGGGCATTTCTGGCCCTGCTGATGCAGCCGGTCCCAGGAGCACTTTGAGACCTGCTGCACCAAGCTGAGCCCCATGGCAGCGAGTGTGCCGGCCCGACACAGAACATTGCCCGAAATGAGTGACCGACTGAGGCTCAGGGGTCTTGATTTCACCATCAGGAGGGAAATCTCCCTGAGAATCCTGCTATTCCCAGGGGCAGGTGCCCCACCACTCTGAGGTGCGTGCCCGGCACCGCTTGTCTCCAGCGATCGGGCAGAGACCAGCTGTGCAGCCTCTGGGGTGTTGGAGGCCAGCCTTCCTGCTGGCAGCCTCCCTGGCTGCTGGCGTGGCGTCTGGGAGCCTCGAAGCAAAGCATGCCTTGATGTGTCACATCCCTGGCCGGCTCCCTCTCCAGGGGGCCCCTAGGGTCTCCAGCTCCTCTTCTGAAGTGGGGGCTCCTCTGGGAGGAGACACGTGACACCCTAACAGAGCTCTTCAGCCAGAGGCCTGTCCCCAGAGGAGGGCCTGGGCAGCCGCAGGCAACAGGGTTGCTGAAGGCGGGAGGAGGACTCAGGAGAGGAGGGGTGGGCCAGACCCAGACGCCCCGTTTCCTCTGAGTGTCTTTGCAGGGGCTGGCCCTGTCCTTCCCTGGCCCCCATTCCTACCCCTTGTCTGTCGTTCCCCTTGGCCATCAGTTCCCCTTTTGGCTGTCAGCTCCCCCCCCCCCCCCCCCAGTCCCATCCTCCTTGGCCATTGTGCCCCCTCCTTGGCCATTGGTCCCGTCAGGCATTAGTTCCCCACTCGACTGTCAGCCCTCTCCTCCTTGGCCGTCAGTACCTCCCTCCTGGCCACTGGTCCCGCCCTTCCCTGGCTATCACCCACCCTTCCTGGCCCCGATGACGCTCGGCGGCCACCGCCCCTCCACCACCCTTCTCAAGCCCCATCTCCCGGCCCGTCCCCATCGCTCAGCATTTCTTCCTTCCCGCCCCAGGCTCTTCGGCCAAGACGGCCTCTGTGCGTCCTGTGACAAGCGTATCCGCGCCTACGAGATGACGATGCGGGTGAAGGACAAGGTCTACCACCTGGAGTGCTTCAAGTGCGCCGCCTGCCAGAAGCACTTCTGCGTGGGCGACCGGTACCTGCTCATCAACTCTGACATCGTGTGCGAGCAGGACATCTACGAGTGGACCAAGGTCAATGGGATGGTCTAGGCCGTGGCTCCGGGGGGTCTTCCTCTCCCGGGGCTGGAGGACGGGCCGGGGGCTTCTTAGGGGACGGCTGACCTGTCCCGGGCGCCGAGACTTAGCGCACGGGACAGGATGCCAGGGCCCGGACTCAGGGGCACAGGACTGTCCTTGGGAGGATGAGGGCCACCGCCGTCCATTGTCACCAACATGATTAGCTGGAGGAGGGACATGGAGGGCCGAGCGCGCGCCGTGATGCCCTGAGTGTCCCATCTGCACGTGGAGTGGTCGTGTGGAGACTTGCTACAATGACCTGGACCTTGGCTGGCTGGAGATGGCAAGTGATTTCTCTTCTCCTAGCTGTTGTGACAACCCTGTTCCAGTCGCTGTCCTCCACAGGGAGGGACAGAGAGGAGTGGGCACTCTTTTTCCTTGGCCACTTTCCCAAGGCCTTAAGCTTTGGACCCAGGAAAACTGCATGGGGACACATTCCAGTTGAGAATAGAAAACACAACTTTTAACCAAACCATTATTTAAAGCAATGCTGATGGCTCGCCATTTCCAGACACCTTCGTTTTGCGGTGAGGGGTTCCACAGATTGCTTCTATACAAATATAAATCTCAAAAAAAGTTGTTCAACTATTTTATTATCTTAGATTATATCAAAGTATTTGTTGTGTGTAGGAAAAAACACTCTGCAGACTTAATAAAAATGACAGACTAAAGCCCAGTGTTACTTGATGATGACTTATGAATCGGGATGGTGGGGAGACACTCTGCTTTTCTACAGCAAAGAAGGAAGTAAATACACGATTTATTTTTATTTTTATTTTTTTTTGGAGTTGGGGTTCTCCCTCTGTCACCCAGGCTGGAGTGCAGTGGTACGTTCTCAGCTCACTGTAGCCTCAAGCTCCTAGGCTCAAGCCTCAGCCTCCCAAGTAGCCGGAACTACAGGCACACGCCACCACGCCTGGCTAATTTTTGATTTATTGCAAAGACAAGGTCTCGCCAAGTTGCCCGAGTTGGTCTTGAACCCACGGGCCCAGGCAGTCCACTGGCCTCAGCCTCCCAAAGTGCTGGGATGACAGGCTGAGTGATTTACTTTTAGATTAAATAAAAATTTCCCTTGATTGCAAGAGTTTGTACAAGGCAGGCAGATTACTGTGTTACTGGCGATTACATAACAGGTCATCATGGCCAGCCATTGCCTTTGGGAGGCGCGTAACCTAGAAAGGACACGAATGCATGGAACAGCGTCCCTTTGGGAGAGAAGGTAATTACCGAGTCTGAAATGTGGCAAAGATGCTGAGCTTGACACTTCGATTTTCCAAGACGCCTCTCCGCTGTTTTGTGGCAAGCGGCTGCGGGGGGCCTCACGTGGAGGGTTCAGAGCAGACCCCAGCTTGCATCCAGGGTGCCGCGGACTGGCCCACAGCGCCACCTGCTGGCCGTCACCTTGGCTCGCCGGCCCCTGTGCGTCCCAGGAAGGATGCTGGTCCTCGTTCAATGTCGAGATGCGTTTTGGGATTAAGACATGGCAGCTCAGGCTCAGTGGCTCAGCCTGTCATCCTGTGCCTTTGGGAGGCTGAGATGAGTGGATTGCCTGAGCCCACAGGTTCGAGACCCGCCTGGGCAACTTGGCGAGACCTCATCTCTACAATAAATAAAAAATTAGCGGGGCATGATAGTGCAAGCCTGTAGTTCCAGCTACTTGGAAGGCTGAGGCGGAAGGATCGCCAGAGCCCAGCAGGTCAAGGGCTGCAGTGGCCCGGGAGCGTGCCACTGCACTCCAGTCTGGGTGACAGAGTGAGACTCCAACTAAAAAACAAGACATGGCAGCAGCGGAGGCCATGGCGAGTGAGCCCCGAGGCCCCTGGGAGTCTCACCAAGGCGTGGGAGGTTTCTTCTCATGGGGAGGTCACGAGGAGGGGGGGGCTCTTGGTCTGTCAGTGCTGAGAGGCTGGGAGGTCAGGTGGCCTGCTTGAAACAAACCCAAGGATCTTGCACTCCGGCTTGGGGCTTGAAGCGACCACCCACGAGGGGAGGTGTGTCCTGAGTCCGTGGTTCTCAGACTGTTCCTGAACAAGCTGGGTCTCTGGTCTGTGTCGTCATTCAAAGGGAACTTGCAAAAAATTCTGATTCCCAGGCCCCACCCCAGGCCCGTGAGTCAGACGCTCAGGGGTATGGTCAGCATGTGCTTTCACAAGCAGAAGGCGATTCTGACCCACGATCACCATGGAAGACACTGGTCCAAACACCCCTATTGGGAAGACCCCACCCTCCAAGTTGTTCTAGTTAAATTGGACACCAAGGTTCTTCCCATGGAGACGCTGGCTGCCCCGGTCCCTAAGCAGAAAACAGTTCCGTAGTCTTATCATTCAGCTAACATTTGTACCCCACCTACCAGGGAATCACACTTTAATTCACCATTTTAGCCATAATAACAACAACAATAGAATCTAGCTATGCAATGATCTTACCAGCAGTGCTAAGTTCACGATAGAAAGGGCTTCACTTTGGAAATGTAAACCTTATCCTTCATCCCCACGGTGGCATGCCACACGTGAGGCTCAAGAGATTAGCCGAGGCCCTGGCCATCCTCCACAAGGAGGTCACAAGTGTTCTTCGTTCCTTGATGGTGCCATCCTGCAGGACTGTGGGTCCTGGGCAGGGTCTTTGCGGCATCTCCCCAGGGGCCTATGCATCTGACCCGCAGCTGCCTTGAGCGAAAGGGCATGTGAGAGACTTCGAGCAGGACCAGCTCAGTGCCCGCCCTGGTGGCCCTGTCTCAGTGTGTCACCACGTGCTGGCCAGGGCGGGGCAGCCATGCACCTGCCCTCACCCTGGGCCCACGCCGCCTTTGGCAGTGTGTGGGGACATTTCACTTCCTCCGCCCCTAATCGGTTTCCTTTTATTGCTGCTTCAAATAGAACTACCACTTAGCTGGAAAACTTGGAATCCTACAGATTTAAAATAGAGCAGCGGCCAGGAGCCTTATCCTTTGAAGACGTGATGACTTTCTTTGCTTAATGACCATTCATGCAACACACAGCACGTGCCGGACGCTCTCCTGGGAGCTTTACAAACACTGACTCCTTGAAGCCATGTGCCCGGCCTCTGCAGCAGCTCCTACTTACTGTCACTGATCTCGTGCTGCCCTGGAAAAAGAGGCACAGAGAGGTAACTCATCCAGGGTCCCCCAGCTGACAAGGGGCAGGAGCTGGCTTCACTTGGGCCTTGTGCGGGTCCTGCGGCCTCTGAGACTCACCTCCCCAGGCAGCAGGCTTCTCATAGCCCCTCCCAGGTCATTGGAGGGTGTCTGCGATTTAGACCAGTTCAGGGCTTCCTGCCTTCTGGCTTTCCTGGGCCCCATTGAGTAAGGAGGAATTGTCTTGGGCCATTCATACATCAAATAATACGGTGAGTGTTTGTATGTAATAAGACTACTTTTTTTGTATTATGAAGTTTAGAAAAGTGAGAACAATATAAAACGAGTGGGAAGTTTGACCAAGTTTTTGTAAAGCTCCTTTCTCAGCATCTGGTTTGATGGACGTGGTTGCAAATCTCAGTGAGCTCTCCAGGTGCTCGGCAGAAATGTTTGTTGGAATTTTGCTCCTTGTGTGCTTCGTGACTGAAAACAGTGGGCAATGTCTTATGACACAGAGGAAGCGGCTTGCTTGGCGAACACGTGGATTCAGCCCCCCAGGAGCTCCTGACCCCAGAGACCTGCAACTCAGCCCAGAAGCCCGTGTGACAGACAGCCTCTCCCGGAAACCAAGAGACCCGTTAGCATGGAAGTCCCAGAACCATCGGTCAGCGGCTACAGACTAAGGCGATGGAAGATACCACCTGGGCTGGTCGCAAGTGTATCTGTGACTGGAAACAAGGTCGTGAATGAGATGTGATTGTGAACTTCAAAAATGGAGCCATGCCTAGAGTCACGAAGAAAATAAATGCTGGAAAAGCACAGGATATGGAAGACTTTGCAGGCTGTGTGACTCGCTGGCCCCGGCAGTGTGTGCAGCCAAGGGTCCGACATGCCTGTCTAGGCAGAAATGCAAACAGAGCACAGCAGTCCACTGTTCAGCACCGCAGTGAAGCCTGGAGAAGTGCAGGGGACGCCAGGGGACAGCTGAGCTGGCCGGGGGCTTCTGGGGCACAGAGGCAGAGGCATTTGAAGTGGCCTTGGACCTGAGGGGAGCACAGGCAGTCTTGACCCTGCAGGGACATGCTGGGTGAACCCAGAGCCTCCATGCCACCAGCCCATGGAGGGGCTACATTCTGACTCTGTCACTCTAGTGGGTGCTCTTTGGTGCTCAGCTCCCACGAGATACGGGTCTGGTGAGTGTCGCTGACCCTGACTCGACCTTGGACCCCAGGCTCAGGCCCCTCAGCCCGGGTGGTCTCCTCCATCACCCCAGTCTGCTGCCGCTGACCGACGGTTCTGGAACTTTCGTGCTAATGGGCCTCCTAGTTTCCGGGAGAGGCTGTCTGTTGCGCGGGCTCCTGGGCTGAGCTGCAGGTCTCTGGGGTCGGGAGCTCCTGGGGGACTGAATCCACGTGTTCGCCAAGCAAGCCGCTTCCTCTGTGGTTGTCTGTGTCATACGACATCGCTGCCGGGTCCTGAGCCCCAAGTCCCGCCCAGGCGAGGACTGTCCCAGTGCGTCCTGTGTGTCTCTGGGTCCTTCCCCTGCCTGGCACACAGTGGGCACCAGCATTTCCCCCTCCACAGTGCTCATTGCCTGACATATTCCCTTTGTTTCATTTCCTCCTCTACTTTAAAACTCCACTGGAGACCAGGTGTGGTGGTTCACACCTGTAATCCCAGAACTTTGAGAGGCCAAGGGGGGAGGATCGAGTCCAAGAGTTCGAGACCAGCCTGGGTGATGTAGCAAGGCCTTGTCTCTACAAAAAAAAAAGGAAAAAATAAGCCAACAAAAACCCCACACAAACCTCCATTTGGGAGCACTACACAGCCATAGAGAAAAACAAGATCACATCCTTTGCAGCAACGTGGATGCAGCCAGAGACCATCCTCCTAAGCAGAGTATCGCAGAAGCAGAACTCATGACTGCGTGCTCTCCCTCGTAAGCAGAAGCTCGACACGGAACGCTCGCGGGCACAGGACCAGCAGCACTGGGGGTCCCTGAGGGAAGGAAGCGAGGGGAGTGGGTTGGAAACCACCCGCCGGGAGCCAAGGCCACCACCTGGGTGGCACGGTCTCCACCAGCCCGAGCCTCACCAACATTCAGAGTGCCCGTGCGGCAAACCTGCCCGCATGCCCCCTGGGCCTGAAAAAGTCAAGCTCCTTGTGGGGAGAGGGCCTTTGCTTAAGTGGCCTGTGAGTTCATCGGCACGCGGCGGCCAGGCCCGCGCCACGCACACACAGGAGGTGTGAGGGCCCACGGGATGCAGAGGCGCGAGGAGGGTCCGGGGGCCGGGACAAGGGAGCGCGTTTCCCTGTGACTGTGAGGAAGGGCAAACCAAAATCAAAAACAGGGTGCAGAGCCCAGGAGTCTTGCAGGGGCACAGGAAATCACAAGCCGGGCTGGGGACAGTCAGTGAAGCCGGAAAGCAGGGAAGCGCTGACCGAGGGTGGGGGCCGGGACGGGAGGTGGGAAGGGACTGCCAGACCATCAGGATACTGAGGGCCCACGAGGAGGTAAGGACAGCCGTGAGCGGAGGAAGTCGTCCATGGGCTCACAGCAACCTCCATGGTGGGGGAGGCAG